ATAAGGTTGTGATATTTCTACATATTATTTCTTCAAAATCTTTTAGTTGGTGTGCAGTTTTACAGTCGAACAAAAGACGAGGCTACACTATATTGTACGAAGGAAGGTCTACGTGCATTTCTGCAATTCTGTGCTCAGCAATTTGAATAGAAGAATATAATATAACTAACATAACCCAGCAAACACAGAACATAACTGCTATATAACATAGAAGTAACACGTAATATAACAGCTGTTATACTCTATTAACATTAATGTTATATAACTTTGTTTCATAATTTTAATATAATTGTTATGTATCTATTATAGTGCTTTGTTATTAGCTGGCAATGACATTATAACAGCAATATAATTGATATGTAATATGTTATATACCAAATGTTATATGAATTTAACATTGCTGTTATGTAATATTAGTTATCAATATATAATTGCAATGTAATAGTAATAAATCAGTAACATAACTATTATAAAATTTTATATAACTGTTCGGAAATTATTCTATTGGCGTTGTAATTTGAAAACAATTTGTGAAAAAATTTATAGGAAATTAAAAGTTAAAAGCATTGTAATGCGCAAATGATGTCATATAAAAGGTAAGTATAAATTTCATTAATTCTCGTATATTTTTCGAGCATACTTTAGAATTACGCTTATTTAATAGCCATTAGCTGCGTTTAACAGAACACTTGCTGACTTGTCTTGTCAATACTCGACGTTGATTTGTTGGTTCTAAAAGTAAGAGCCAATCACGTTCGATTGCTACATAGCAGCTTGTTCTGCTGAACGCAGTCAATTTCTCTCATCTCTATGCGCAGTTCGCTTCCAATTCGTCGCGTGCGCATCACCACGCATCACTGTTGTTTGCTACTGCATATATGCTACCGCTGGCACGTTACCGGTCTGAGAAGAAGCTGCTGAAACAACAAATAATCAAAGGTAATCTTTTTGTATTAAATAATAATATAAAGTAGAACAAAGCCACGATGAATAATTCCGGCGTATATTTTCGGTAATATTATCGTATTACACATGTCGTCGTACACATGCTCAATATATCATGTTAAACATAAAAGTGATTTTNGAAAAACCACCCGGAGCTTTATTTTGTACAATCGTACCGACGATTGTCGTTTTGATATGTGTAATTGATGCGCAACTGTTTTGGTATCAAAGTAGCTACGCAACAATATTTATCGAACTGATAATCGTCGGTACGAGTGTACAGAATACGGCTACAGAGGCACTTTTTTCAATTAACGACACAAGTCGACACAGTCATTCTGTTCTCGTTCAATAATCAGTGAGAAAAAAAGACAGAATAACTCTTGTGTCGACTTGTGTCACTAGCTGGAAAACGCTTCAAGTTGTTACAATAAACATGTATTCAATATCGAAACCTAACTTAACCTAA